CTATAGAAAGTATTAAAGTATTTGTAGTATACAATTTGCAAATCAAATCAAATATTTGAAGATTAATTTGTATTTGAGCAAATAATTTTTCTTTAATTTGAATTTGATCGAATCGAATCAATTATTAATTTGTATTTGTATTTGATTTGATTTTCAAATTGAATATTCAAATATCAAATTGAATTGCGGAACCCTATCTATTATGATGCTCATACTATACTAATTTATTAATTTTGATCATCACAAAATAATTCTTATACTAATTTTAATTTTATAGAACTTATCCACTATTCTCAAAGGCTAAAATTTTCATTACAAAATTTATCTGAATCTAAAAAAAGAAAAGTAAAATAAAATATACATATCAGCTTAAATTATTATCATTATGTAAGGTTGTAATTCTTATCTTAAATGTGATTAATATCTAATTGATATTTACTTCAGAAGGTTTTTATTCTTAAGCCTATATTAATTTTTTTATTTGTTTATAATTTAGATTATTAGATTCAGCTATAAAAATAAAATTACATTTATATATTAATAAAATTTTTTTGATATAGCTAAAACTACTAAACTAAATAAAATTAGCAAAATAAATTATATAAATAAATAATTGAAAAAATTTGTTTGTTTGATAAATAAAAGTTTTTATTTCTCTTATAAGTTAAAACTAAAGCTCCGCATAAGCCGGCTCGAGCCGGCTTGACAATTGGCTTGAGCCGAGCCGATTTATTTCGGCTCGGGCTCGGCTTGGCTTGAGTCAAAATGTGACAAGCCGAGCCGGCTCGTTTGGCTCACATTATTACCTAAAAAATATTTCGGAGAATACGCTCCGAGGAGAGTTTTCCTTCAAGATAACGCCTTCCGAAACGTTTCTCTTCAAGAGAAGCGTCTCCGATATGATTCTCTTTAAGAGAAAAATTTCCGAAACGATTCTCTTGAAGAGAAACGTCTCCGAAACGTTTTTCTCTGAAGAGAAAACGCTTCCGGAGCGTTTAAATTAGAAGTAAACGCTACCGGTGCGTTAAAGTTCGAAGAAAAATACTACCGGTGCGTTAAAATTCGAAGAAAAATACTACCGGTGCGTTAACTTCGAGAATCACGCATCCTGAGCGTAAAATTAGAAGAAAAACTCTTCCGGAGCGTTTCCTTCAAATTTTAACGCTACCGATGCGTTAATCTCGAATAAAAACGCTACCAGTGCGTTAATTTCTAAGAAAATTCGCTTCCGGAGCGTTATATTCGAAGAATAGGCACCGATAGCGTTTTCCTTGAAAGAATAAGCTCCGTTAGCGTTTTTCTTCGAATTTTAACGTACCGGTAGCGTTTTTTTCGAAGTTAACGCACCGAGTGCGATTTTCTTCGAAGTTTAACACTTCGGATACGTTTTCTTTAACTGAAACGCTTTTGGATTTTTTTTTGAAAAATCACAGCCGACGAGCCGAGCTGCGCCACGAAACAGGCCTCGGCATGAGCCGGCTTGACTGGCTCGCGAGCCGTTTTATTGCGGCTCGAGCCGAGCCTTAGCAAGCTGGCTTGTGAGGCTTGTGCGCCGGCTCGGCTTATGCGGTGCTTTTTAAAACTACTAAAACTAAATAATATTAGTGAAACTATTAATAATTAAATACTAATTAATAAATTTATAAATAAATAATTATCAATAAAATTAATTGTTTAATATATAATATAAATAAAAAAATAAAATATAAATTGTTATATCATTTTTTCTCACAAAAAATATATTATTATTTTCCCTTTTCTTTTACAATACTAATTTTTTTTTTTAAAAAATATTTTAAAACTTTTAACATTATTTACATTAAAGAATCAATTTTTAACAATAATAATATTATCATATTTCTTAACGTTAATGGATAGAAAATAGATTTTTTCATCCAAAGGTTGCTTATCATTTTTAACTTCTTTAATTCAAATTCTGTTATATATGACACTGCATTATATATTTAATAATAATTAATACGGTTGAAAATGAAAAAAAGAATTCAAGCAAATTTATTAACAGGTATAAAATTTTTTTTAGCAAGTTACTAATTATAACAACCCATCCAATAACTACACTAAAAGTACATAATTTAACGGAAATTAATTCTCTATTTCTAGCCAACTTATTTAAAAATGTAAAATTTATTTATTACTAAATCACTAAATCAGATTCTTGTTCTTTAGTATCCAACTTTGCTCTCTATCCAGTCTAATCTCCAATGCATATTGTGGTATTTCCTTAATCCATTGTGGATGGTTTTTAATACTATTATTAGTTTTGGTCCTATAAGATTGCCAGGGAAATGTTTCAAAGTTTTCTGACGGTACTACAAAATATAATTTGAAACTTTCATCCCATTCTATGAATTTTTTGGACGAGTTATCCCACTTGGAACGTTTGAAAACCTTAAGCCCTTTTGCCTACATATTCTATGCGTTAGTATCATAATATATAATTATAATATATAAGTTTTGATGCTCTTACCTTGATACCATGATTCATTGAAACTGTAATTTGATACAAAGCTAAGGTCCTATCACATTTTTCAAGACTGAACGAGTCAATTGTTTCGAAAATCTTTGACTTCGGCCTATTATAACAATCTTCACGTACATGTTTCATTGTCGTAAACCAATTATATTCCAATTTTTCAACTTCTTTATCTTTAATCTCAGTTGTATTTACTCCTTTCTTCAACTCTCGTATTCTAAATCTGCCACCTTTTGATAATTCCTTATGGGCAATGTCTTCAAAAAGATTGCCTCGATATGAAGCAATTGGAGATTGATTACTACTGCATGTGATTAAATCACGAAGATCGTTTCCCAATTGCTTTTCATATAAATTGATCAATGTGTGGGATACCAACGATGAAGCAAATTGATAATGTTTATCTGTAAAGTTTGGTCCTACATGGATGTGTATAAGTCTACCACTTGCAGAGTTTTTGGACATTCCTGCTTCATTGACAGATTTCATACAATTTTTTAAATCGATTTCATGAATCAATGTCTCAAATTCTTTTTCATTATATAACGCATCATCCCAATTTTCAAGGATTGATCGAGGTATTGGTCCCCACATACCCATTAGTGTCTCAACTATTTCAAGTGTAAAACGTTCATCTCTAGTATTCATAATATTCTCATAGCAAGCATTCCAAAGTGTAATTATTTCGTTATGATCCCAAATTGGCATATAATATTTTGTGAAACCATATGGTTTTATAAAATTATTAAATAAATCTTGCTTAGGCGATGTTAATAGAATGGTATAAGCACTGCATCCTTCTGGAACCTGTGCGTCCACCAGGTAGAAATTCTTTCTTTCACTAGCAATTGATCTAAAACAATTGAAATGTCCAATCTGTACCTCTCCACTTGGAAAAAAACAGTAGCTTGTTCCGAATTGAGAATCTGCTTTATGCCATATAACTGTAGAGTCAGGATAGTACAAACGTATATAATATAAAAGGAAAAGGCCGAAGTAAGTTTTACCAATTCCCGGTGTGCCTGTAATTACGCAACCATATTTAGATGGGCCATTCTTTAACAGCCGGGTTAATTGCAAATAACAATTTCGTATAAGTAAATGAGACCTGAACTTTTCTTCACCTAAGAAGAACACACCGTCAGGTAAGCATAGAATTGCTGCACAATTGTCTTCCAACTCATCTGACTTTTTTAGCAAATCATCCAAGATATTTTGAGTTACGAATTTATTCTGAGTAAAATATTTATTATTCTTGAATTCATGTGCCACAGTGGGTCGCAATGTATATTCCAAACTCGTTTCATCCTTAAGTTCAAAACGAGTAGGTAGAAATTCAAATTCCATATCTTGCGATCTTAGGAAGATAATTTGAGCTTCAGATAGCTTATTCCAAAATTTTATGATTTCATCCTTGGCGGGTTTGGCTGCATTGAGATCTAATGTAAAGAAATAATCAATAATTTAATTTATTTATTTAAACATTACTTTCGTTTAACCATTTTTTACAACGCAAAACCTTACCTATATGTTCATATATAAATTGGGTTTGAAAAACCAAAAAAGTCGAAGTTAGATAATATTATAAAATATCGAAAAGGCGTGTGTTTACACAAAAAAAAATAGGGAATATACCAGACGTAATAAAAGTCTTCAAGTATTCAAGTTTATCATTTTCCGTTTGTAAGGATTGAAGGAATAACCACGCATCTTTCTTTTGATCTTTGTTTTTAGTAAAGTAGGAAAATATGTGGATCTTATCTTTTTGAGTGAATTTATTTTCGGGGTTAATGTTAGTGAGATTAGTTAGGTAAATAAGTTCTTTTGAGAAATCGTCTTCCATCATACTGCTTTTAAATAATTTTGATATAAAATAAAAAAATAAGTAAAATATTTTTTGTTTAACAAGAGAGTAAGAGGTTAGAAACGCGAAAGTATTGTGATTGAACGCGTGTCAGATAATTTATATATTTATATATTATGATGTACGATGTCATATGATGTTGCAGAAATAGCTTGAATTATTTGGTTTTTGGGTGGGTAGTACCAAAAAAAAAATTTCTTTAATAAGATCAAGTTCATAAGCCCCTTGCGTCCCAAATGCAATCTTGATATTTTTGGAATATGAAATCAACCTCAAACGATTTCGAATTTCCTTTTATTATCTAGACTCCAATTCATTTGTAAGCTCCGCCCAATCTCATTTTGATTTTTAATTCATAGCTTAAATAGTACGTTAAACTATAACTTCTTTATTGTCCTAAAATTATTTAAATTGTATTAAAAATCACGGCTCCATAGTATGCCGGCACCAGTTTAAAGATGAAAAATCACGAAAAATCATTCTCCAAGAATGAATGCCGTTACTCCTGATATCATTACTGCTTTCGGAGAAAATAACTGCTCTTTTTTTTCCTTCTTTATGAGCTATAATTTATCAAACGAAGAGATTTCGATATCGATAGAAACTAGCCATGATTCAGAACTAACACCGATCTCTTCAGAAATCGCATTGTAATTTGATTTAGAGACCGCTTTTTTTATTATTAATTCCTTCGATTAAATCGATACACATTGGGATAAAGTTTTGAAAAAGTACGTAGACTAACTTTAGAGATTGAACATTACATTGTTAATTCCGGGATAAATCATAAAATATTTTGTTATATTGATATGAATGGAGATATTCTGACGTTAAAGTTTTGAAATCCAAAAAAAAATTTAAAATAATAAATACCCCATAAAAAAAATAAAAAATGACGACAATTCTTCTTGCCTCTAATCTGTTATTAACTTTAGTTTTGTTGTATGAAATATTTCAAAATGTTACCATTTTTTTTTTTTTTTAAAGATAATTTTTTTGATGAGCTAAATTTCAAAATAAAAGAAATTAGTATTGAAATTTTATACACTTTACTATAACTTTCTAAAATGTTATTGTTATTTAGGTATTAATCCAATTAAAAAAGTTTCATTTTTATTAGAAATTTCTAAATAGTTGTGTCAGTAAATCTTATTAATGTCATAATTTTGACCGAGTTTAGGTAGATATAATAGGAATCGAACAGCTGTTAGTCGCAGAATCGACTGAGACATACCACACCACGCGAAACATACAAGATCCAGACTTATTTCAGTCAATTCTGTAGCGTTTGGACGCTTTAACGAAAAATTAAATGATAGCGCACATGAAGTAATTTTAATTATGATGTATAAAATCAATTTAATAAAAGTATGCCTTCGAAATACATTTATTTATCCTACATTATTTATTATGAAAGAAGTTGAAAAAAAAATTAATCTAAGAGGGATTGATGAAGTTCTTGAATACTCAAAAAAAGTTATATTCGTGATTAAAGTTGAAGAGGACGGTTGATATATTGATACTGTAAATTGATATGTGTGATATTTAGTTAGATCAATAGATTATTACACAATTCGAACTCCAAACATATATTTCAAACGTTATCAAAATTCTAAAACAGCGAAGCGGTAAGATCAAAATTTTTATTTGGAAATTTAAATTAGATAAAGAACATCATGAAGTTATTCCTCTATATAAATTCTCTTTAAAGATTTTATGGAATATTAACAGATTATGAATACATGATGTATTTAAAAACTTAAAATGATTGGAAATTTATAATATTCATAAATTAAGACTTGATCTCGAACACCGATGATTATATATAAGAATTTCTCAATCAATTCACAAATTTGTAGAACCATGTACATATGCAAACGATGCTTTGATTTATTGCCAACTTATGAAAAATATCAATTGATGGATAGTCTCTGTAGAAGATGGTCCAAGATCACGAGTCGATAAAGAAAACCATATTGATTTGGTTATTAATGATACTCAGCTCCTAATGAATAACATTATTATTAGGTAAATAAACTATAAATTTGGTTATTGCCAAAAAATTTCTTAATGCGGATGAAATTAATAAGTACCTTTACATCTTGAGCTTCCTACTGACCCTTCAAATAAATCCAAATTGAAAATGCAAAGATAAATCAATAAATTGAATTCAAATTTGACATTTGCTTATTAATTTTTTATACTTATCTATGATAAATCCAGAATCTACAATTATTTGAATTTTTAAAGTTGAAAAGTCTTTGTCAAAAAATTAATCTTTGTCCACCCACCCCACATCAATTTTATGAGTCGTTAAATAAATAAATACTATATATATTAAATCAGAAAAAAAAACATTGATATATTCATCTATATATATTTATTAGGATAGTTTTATTTAATTACGTTAAAGATTGTTACGCGATTGATTGATTGTTTTTTTTTTTGTAAATCTATATATTTGTTTGATTTGTATTACAAATAATTAATTTCATCTAATCTTCAAATATATTTATTTTTATTTTTAAAAAATTTCATACATTTCCTTGGTTTTGATTTGGTGAATTTGAATTCCACTGAGGTACCAATACGGATCTTGCACCTTCAACTATATTAAAACCATGTTGTTTACAACGTTTACAGGTATATGGTAATCCCAATATTGTAAATGGTGGTAAGCTAATCACAAGAAAGAACGGAATCAATACAATATTTAATATCATCCCAAACGGTTTGGTTATTAAAAAATAATATAAACATTCTACGGTATATTGATTATAACAATATTTAACACCAAAATGTATATATCCTTGAAATTCGGTTTGAGTGGATGAAATTTTTGTGATGGCCTGTAATGGTTTCCTATTAGTGATCTCTTTAACACCGTCCTCAAGAAATCGAGAAGGGTTCGTGCAAAATGATATCGTGATCAATTCAATCCTCGCCATAGATCTATTGCAAAACGGAAAAATAAATTTATAAATAAAAAAAGAGAAAAATAAAAAATAAAATAAAAATAAAAAAGATTTACATTTACCTCCAAGACATGACAGATCCTATACACATGAAATATCCCAAAGGGGGGATTATCAAAGAAGCGATACTTATCACACAAGTACTTAATATCCATACAAAGCAAAATATAGTCCATAATGGAAACCAGAATGAAAGATAAAATATACTAGCCCATGATTGAGGCTTAGTTACCTCTAACCATAGGTCTATAAACCTTTGGTCGTGAGTCGGATTTACCATGATTAAAATATTATGATTAATTTGCAAATTAGAAAATTAAGAAAATTACTAAAACAAAAAAATAAAATATTTCCATTCGTTCAAGGCAGGGGAGGTAATTAACTTTTTTTTTGAATGAAAAATGGTTAGTGTATCATTAAATTGATAAACATTTACCTTGTAAGGGATGTTGTGTTCCTGCATCCCTTATTATATGTTGATAGTGATGATTGTCATTTGACTGTGTCAAGGACATCGACATTGAACGTTTATACCGTGCCACATTTTCACTTTATTTATAGAATTAATACTGTATTTTATTCATTTGAATATTTAATAATTGTTTTTTTTATCCAAAAATAGTAGTGACTTGGAAAGCTATTATAGACAGAATTTTAGACAATTATATTTATTAATGTGGATTTAATGTCAAACGAATGTACGACCATTAATTTACAAATCGTTCGTGGCGCCTGTGTTACAATGAGGAATATGGAACACCACATAAATTAATTACGAATGAGTGACGTTTAATTAATAGAAACATACATCAAAGTGCATAACAGAAATGGGCTGAACTTGCCAGACTTGTCAAGGAATGATATTTAATAGAATCCTTTTTAACTTTTTCATTTCTGATTATCAATACTCCTTTTTTGATTTTTAAAGCATGAAGCATGTGAAATTTATTTAAGCTGTATCATCACGTGATATCTAAACCGCAGTGCGCAATTTCGGGCCGGGAGAACGTGTGAACCATGGCTTTGCTTTTCGTTTAAATATGAATTAAGAATCATGGCTTATCCCAATTATTGAGATTTTTATTTTTGTATTAATTAATCGGACAAAGCTTTGGGCGAAATTTAATGGGCTTTGATTCCACATATCAACAAAAACTTATAAATACCTACACATTAATTTCTTTTCAATAAAAGATTCAAACATTCAAAATAAAATAAATCAAGTAAAAAATGAAAGGGTATACCAGAGTAATCATCTTAATTATCAGTGCCTTGGTATTATTATCAACTGTCACTGCTTTACCACAAAGCGGCTCATCCAACAAAGTCGAAGGTGAGAATAAATTTCACGAATTTGCTGAAAAAAAGGTTATAAAAAAAATTATTTACATTCTTGTCTAATTATGTAGTGAAAAAAGGAGACGATGAAGAACCTACATCTATCTCCAAGTTACCTTAAGGAAATCTTTTAAACTTCAATTGAAATGGGAAAACACCATCTCCATGAAGAATCTCCTAATCTACAAAAGTTTTATGCGCGCCTTCGTTAAAACGCGAACGCGTCTTTATAAAAATTAAAAACTTATTATTTATTTATTTTTTTTTAATTTGTTTATTGTCATTTTCGATCTGATCAGATCACAAATAGATTTCTCGTTTATCATATTTCTCAGTATTTTATATATATATAAATTTATAAAATCTTTTTTTATAATTTTAAAATATGAAACCTTCACAATTTTTAATTGTGTTGTGATCGGACTTGTGATGTAAATATGTTCGAAATAAGTCTCATGCTTTGAACTTTTCTGTTAAAGAGTCATAAAGAACGTTATAGGTTCATTATGCAAGTTTCGTTCAGGCTGGGCCAATAAAATTTTAATTCACAATGTTAAATAACTAATAAAATATAGAGCTAAAGATACTGCGCCATACAATACAGGAGTCGATTGAATTATCTCTCGTTTTTAGATCGACACGACATCCGTAAAAAAATTTTTGAAACATTTTATGTCAATATACTGTAATACAGTAGGAAAGTAGTGATTTGATTCAATTCCAAAATAAAAAAGGTTCTCCATTTACACTCCTATAATTGCCGCAGCAACTGCTGTGCATATTAAAATTATCAAATATGTCAGACGTATACAATATGTTTTACATATCTTATTATTTTTTCTGTTTTATTATATTTGTTTTATTTATTGTATCTGTTATATTAGTTTTATTTATTAAATTTATTTATCTGCTAGTAATTGAAACAACGATTTTGTATAATTAGTTGGGGAATTCAATCTAGAGAAACACAGAGAAAATAGCAAGGTTATAAAAGTTTTTCTCAAAAGATTTAATTATATTATTCTAGTTTGTGATAATAAGTCTAAAGAAAAAGCTCGTATAAATAAAGTTGTTTACTTTACCCTTTCAATCATCTTCGTGTCTTCATAAAGGTTTTGATTACACTAGTGAATCGTAATAGTTGAATGCAACATAAATAATACATCGGACGAACTAAAAGAAGTGTTTGTTGACTAGAGTAAGCAAGTAAATCCAGGTCAACAACGTAAATAAAAATCACGGCACGATAATTTCCACAATTAAATAATTGTGTACTTTCATCAATACTGAGTAGGTAAAGGCAATAAAGTTATTATTTTTGAAGACCACAGTACAAAAAGGTATGTATTTCTTATTAAACTCCGCATTGCAGTACAATTTTCCGCGTCTTTGCAATTTTTCATTATTTTATTTTTAAAATGATTATTGCTATATTGAAACTAAATAAAAATTTTTTTTGTTGATAAGAGAAAAAATAATGGTTTTAAAGAAGTTTGTTTGAAAATCAAATTTTGAAATGTTGAACCTGCTAACGGCGATATCATTAACTTTAAATCACAAATTATTAAAAATAAATTAAATAAGTAAATAAAATTCCAAATATTATTAAGCCGAAGGTTGTTACACTTTTGAACATCCTCAGGTAGTAGTTAATAATACATTCTACTTCATATGATGAATTTTTTGTTTGCATAAAAAATGTCATTCGATTATTAACGCAGGAATTTCGAAAGGGCGATTTTTAATTTACAAAGCAAAGAAGAGATGAAAATATTTTCTGACTTCGCAGGTACTTTGCAACATCCGAACCTATTTATTAAAGATTTTATTAATAAAATGACTTTTGGAATCGTGTATCATCGTTATATTTATGAATCGATGAACTAACTAAAAAAAAAAAAAAAAAAAAAAAAAAAAAAAAAAAAACTAGAAATCTAAATATTTAGAAATACCTGTACCATTTTTACTATAATTATTTTTAGTATTGTGTCCTAACTTCTTTTTTTTTTAACGTTCATATAAATATTAATAAATTTTTTAAAAATTGAAGACAAACGATTTAACTTGTCTGTAACTAGAAATTTCACAATCATTTGGGTCGGTTTAACATCTCTAACTTAAACCTTATCGTTATCGTTATGCAACGCATGCATACTTAGAATTCAGTAAAATGTAAGTAAAGCTTCTGTATATTAAAAATATTATTGAACAGATACAAAAATAAATATAACCAAAATATCAGTTCAAGTTTTTTGATGGTATTTAAATAAAACTATTATCTTAATTCATCTTTTCAGCATCTCATCTGAGCAGATATATAGTATTATAAATTTATCAACATTGAGAAATATATTATTTATAAAAAAAGTTAATGTTAAATTATAAAAATTTATTTTTTTATTAAAAAAATACTATTGACAAAAAAAGTATTAAATATAATTAATATATTTTGAACATATTTGTTAAAATAAATTAACTTTAGGTATCTATGTATTATATAAATCATTCAGTAAGTTCAAATTTAAATTTTCATACATATTGTTTAAAGTAAATTATCTTCTTTAATAAAAAAAATTATTTTCGTTACTAGTAATTTTATATATTTAATATAAAAAAAATAAAAAATACTATTAAAATTTTATAAATATTATAAGTATAATGTAAGATAAAACAAATATATAAATCATATAAATTTTTAAAGTTTAATTTAAGTCAAATCATTCAATATGAATTATAATTCAAAATTCAAAAAATATTAATTATAAAAATATATTAATATTGTTTTAATAACAACTTTTAAAATAAATTATTTTTAAAAATTATTATTATAATATATTTAATTAATAAAATAGATAACTGAATTAGGTTTCATTTTAAAAATAAATAAATTAGTTAATTCTATATAAAAATTATTAAATATGTATATAATAATAAAAAATGTATTATTTCTATTTATATAGAATACTAATGAGTAAATATAGATCTGTAATAATTAATTTGAAACTTATATTGCAACTAGTTGTAGAAATTAAATATAAGAATTATAATATAAATCTATAACTAGTTGCAGCTTTGTAGATTATAACCTGAGTTCTAATTAATTGCTAATTTTACAATTTTACAATCAGTTGCAATACTATCTTTTATTTATTAGACAACTTTTTAATACAAATCTAAAGCAATATGCATAATTATTAAAAATTTTGTTTTATTTAAAAATAATCAAAATTGTAAACAATTTTAAATTGGTTAAGAATTATTTTTATTGAAAAAAATAAGAAAATTTATATAAAAGTAATTTTATAAAAAAAAAGTTAATTTATAAATATTTCTTAATCAATATTATTCATTTATAATATTATATATTGAAATATTATTTTAGAAAAATATTATTATTCATCATTATTAATATTATATGGTTTCAAATATTATAAAAGACCTTTTTTTAAATGTTTTAATTTTAAGTATTTATAACTATATAAATATATATTAAATTAACATTAAAAATAACATTATAAATAACATTATTTAAACATTTATATCTTATTTTATAAAGTATAATCAGACCTCCATATAATCATATGATTAGTTTAACCAAAATTGGTGATTATATAAATGTATGATTGTAAAAAGATTACCTTTATATAATCACAACTATATTATTAAAAGATAATGACGATTTAAAGGTTAAATTAGTATTATTAAGCTTTATAACATCTATTTATACGTTATATGATACATTTGTAGAATAAGAATAAAACGCTAATTCTTATTCGTCAATTTATGTGACATGATAAATGAAAATCATGTAACAGAATTAGCATTTGATATTACAGGAAATGTTATTGCATTTTTATTCATTTGTCACGATCAATGTGACGTAACTCCTTAAAAACTGTTATATAATCTTTATTAAGTCATATAAAAAAGATATTATTGAATTATATAATTTTCTATTTAATTTTTATAGCTACTTGAACTGCAAGACACCTTACTATATTTAAGTATTTTTTAAAAACATAACTATCTTCTATGTTAAATTCATCAATGGGCTATTGATTAGAAAGATAATTCAAGTTTATAATGATTTGACAGCTTCATTTGAAGATATTAATATTAGTTCTTCTTCAGAATTATCATTAGTATCATCATTTACATATATTTCCTTTTGGACTAATTGTATAATATTATCAACATTTAGAATATCTTCAGTTAAAACTATTTCTAATTCTTGAAAATAATCAGTTAATACATCTTTTAATAAAGCATTATAAGAATCATTATTAAGTTTTTCAATTTCTTCTATAATTTGGTTAATTTTAACTTCTTCATGATCTGCTGAATTTTGTTGGATTTGTGTTGTATTACCTATATCCTCATCAGTTAAAAAAAGCAGAATTTTGGTCTTTTTCCAACAATTATAAATGGTTTCTTTAGTTACTTGCTTCTATGCATCTACTAAATAATTGATTGCTTCTTTAATATTGATTTTCTTTTTGTGAATATCTTTTTCATCTTCAAATAGATTCAATATATGATAGTAAAAATTCCTCTTATAATAGTTCTTAAAGCTTGTAATGATTCTGATATCAAGTGGTTGAAAATGATTTGTAATATTAGAAAATAAAAGGCTACCTCAATATGAGTTAATTGAAACTAAGAAATATTAGGACCACCATAACCTCTACCGCAATTGCTATCACAACCTTAACTTAGTTTATCACCATAGTCTCTACTATGATCATTACTACAACTTTTAATATATTTATCACTACAATCTCTATCACAATCGCTACTACGATCTCTAGTTGGTTTATTACCACAGCTTATACCATGATCTCTAGATCTGATTAGTCCACCATTATGGCTTCCTGAAGCTTAATTACCTATATTAAAAAAAATTCAAGTTAAATATTTAACAATTATATTATGATAAACAAATTTTATTATTTTTTATTTAATTTTATTATTAATTTATTAATTTATTTTTTTATTTTATTGTTTTTTATTTTAAAAAAATAAAAAAAATATATATATTATAAAATAAATTAACTAATAAGCTAAATAGCTTTTCAAAATTAACTTTCTAATAATCTGATAATAAACTTTATATCTAAAGAC